GACCACTGTTTGACCTATTAAAAACAGAAACGTTTGAACATCTCCTTTGCTTCCACCCTTAGCCCCACCCACCAATGCCACCCATTACTGCCATCGTTGTAACAACGATTCGAGGAACTCTTTTCTCGGCTGGCCGTGCGATCAGGGCGGCAGGCATTGGTCAATCTAATTTCACACCTCTGGCTTCTGGATCCAGGAAAGTTTCCGTAGGGGCTCGCTACTCGAGCACTCTCACGGGCAGTCGTGAGATTTCACACCCACACTACACTGACCATCTGCATCACTCAGGGCTCACATGATGGGGTAACATCTACCCCCAAATTGTACCCCTACTACTCTTCCTCGGCCAACCGCATGACCAAAGCGTTAGTTTAGAGACAGCGGAACCAAACTTGCGAGTTTTGTTTCAAATCAGGGCTGAGCGGGCAAAGCATTTTCCGTCGTAGACAGGTGAAACCCTCGGAAGGGAGCGGATTTTTCTTTCCGTTTCCGCATTGGACAGGTTTCCGTTTTATACAGGTAATTAAAGAGGAATATATCAAGGGGGGAGCGGGGAGATTCCGTTAAGACAGGTTTCCGTGTTATACAGGTTTCCGTTAAGGCAAGTTCGACTGTATGTGGGACGGGAGGTAACTGTGACATTTTTGTGTGTGGAGAAAGATGGCGGGTTAATGCCCTTCCCCACCACATATCAAGGGGGAGGGGGGGGCACTGCCCATTGGTTTGGTGTGAAAAGAGCAGAGAGTATTCTCCGTTAGATTGCGTTTTATGTTGCAATTCTGTGGTGACAAGCAGTTTGCAAAGCAAGGTTGACTGTGCCAGTGAAGCAAGGAGCGGTTTAAATTTCTCGAAATGTGAGCGTAATATATATATGCATACCGGTGCCCTTCACGCGATCTATGTGGGTTGATTCCAAGACATAGTTGCAGGGTCGCAGTTTTATTTACTGTGTTGTTTCTTCACTTTGACTCAATAAATGTGTGCTTGGTGTACGGAAAAGACAGAGAAAAGACTGTGAGTGTGTATGTGTGTGTGTGTGTGTGTGTGTTTGTGTTCGTGTGTGTTCGTGTGTGTTCGTGTGTGTGTGTTCGTGTGTGTGTGTGTGTGT